TGTCTGCCTCCCTGATATATGGCAGTTGGTATTGGTTCTTGCCTGGATTTTGGTGTTTTATATAGAGTGTGATTGTAGCTTGACTTTATGGCAGAAGTTGCTGTCTCTTCTTGCGTAATACAGTGAGGAAAAGAGTTCCCCAAAGGTAAAAGCAAAACCGCAATATCAAAAAAACAAGAAAGGAAGGAAGGAAGGGAGGGAGGGAAGGAGGGAGGAAGGGAGGAAGGAAGAAAGGAGAACCAAAAAGAAAAACAACAACAAATACTAGACTGGATACTGTAGTAAAAATTTGTAGTAAAAATATGAGTATGACTTTAATGTTCTCTTTCAACTTCTTGCCTTCAACGACGCCTGATAAATTTCAAGATGCCACTGTTGGTTGTTATAGCGTACCTCAGCATTTAATTTAATTTTCAGTTTGTTTTGTTTTTAAACTCTCTTTCCCTCTCCGCACTCATTGTTCTGGCCTTTTCACTATTGAAAAACAGTTCAGGGCCGGCTCTTGGGCTGAGAGTATCTGTGCGCATGTATGGCTGCAGAATCCACCAGTGGTGGGAGTGGGGTATCCACTTGCTCAGGCTTCCCCTCTAGTCACCAGATTGGAGGTGCACAAACAATGGGGGGGCAATGAACAGATACCAAAAAGAAAGAAAGAAAATCAGAACAAAGCAAAACCGACAAAGTGTATTGTCTACCATTGATCTGAGGTTCTTGCTGCATTATTCCATGGTGGTTCTGCCCCACCCTCCCACCCCTGCTTGGTCTTGCCATTTGGTCTTGTCCAAATTGTGGGCTCCAGGCCACCAAGCCTGACAGATTTTAAAATATGTGATTGCTTGCTTCTGCTACAAACTCTACTAGCTATAAGCCTTCAGACTTTTTAAATATTCCTACCTATGTGATTCAGAGTTTTGAATCTCTGCCCTGAACACTCTTCACCTGGTATTCTGTGGTATTGCTGATGGCTAACTTCACTGTATCTCTCCCCTATCTGACATCAAGCCTCTGATCACTTTTGCCATTGACACCTTGCTTTAGATCGTTTAAAGCAGTCAAAATATGTACTACATGATTACAAAATATTTATTTATTTTAATTTTATTATTATTAATTTAAGCATTTTATTGTGGATTGAGTGAAAGTTTACAGGGCACATCATCAGTTTCACATTCAACCATATATATAACTTGTTTCATTACATTGATTATAATCCCTTCCATATACCATGAGTTAAAAGTATGTTTCTCTATCCACTTTAGCTTTTTAAAAAACACAAAAACAAAAAAAAAAACCACTCAGGCATATATAATAATTTACATTTCCAAAGCACACATTCTTGCAAGTCTGCTCCTGGCCACCAGTTCTTAGTCCTTCTCTTCTTAGTTGATGAATCTAGAGTCCTCAGCCACACCCCCTCTCCATGCCCCCATCTCTGCCTCCATCTTTGGCCCTGCTGCTTCTTTGGATAAGGTCCCACACTCTGCTTGTGTGCTTCTCTCTTGATGGTCCTAGGGTCCTCCGTTTCTGAACTGTAAGATTAACCACTCCCCATTTTTTGTTACAAAACTTCTACCTTTACAAGTGTGACAGTTGTGATTAGTCATAGTAACAGTTATTCACTATTGAATCTTAGGAATCTTATCCGCATCTCCTTTTCACCAGACCCATCTAGACAAGATGATAGCTATTCAGT